TGTCCAAAGCAGTCACTGCAGAGTCGGTAACGACTGAGTGCAGATTAAAAAAAAAAAAAAACTGTACTTTCAAGAATAAGTTGCATCTGGATTTTGAATAAATAGGCAGGTGAGGAATATACTTTTGTTTCATTCAGAAATGGGCTCTCTTCTTGTTTCACTAGCCCAACCTGAGCAAAGATTCCATAGCCCAGAAGCACTGAGAACAATTGCTATAATTTCAAAAGGTAAAATCTTCAAGCAAGCAAGGATATATAGCTTTATAGCTTTGTGCAACCCCTTTCTTTCTCCCTAAACTGCTACTTTTTTGAGTCATTCATTTGTAACTTGATAAGAGGAAGAGAAAGCTCATAGAAAGCAAAACTTTTTTCTAAAACCAACAGTGTAAAGATGGGTTTTGGAGCAATCATCCATACATAGTCAAACTCTTGTTTCATAGTCCTGGTCTTGGTTTCAAATTCAAGATCATGCTGACCCAAAACAACTATGTGTTCCTTTAAATTTTACTGTATTCTATTCCACTCCTCATCACCCAGTGTTTGAATTTAAAAAGGTGAATTTGAAAATTGTTGAAGTGAAATAAACTAATATTTTCTTGCAGCAGAATGACTGAGTGCAATTCATTCATGAACATAGCTAAGTATTCAGATCTTCCCCATCACCAAATACCAGTAAACTTTCAGCAGCCCCCACCAGCATGTCTAATAGTGAGGGATGCTGGGAGCTGTAGTTCAACAACAGCAGGAAGCTCACAGGTTCCTCCCCCACCCCCCAGCCCTCCCTGAAAGGCTCCAGAACGTAAGTGGACGATTCTGGCCCAAATATTTCTTTGGTTGTGCTTGGATTGGTTTGCTTGTTGCAATGAAGTCTGACAGAAACCACATTTCTTCCTAAACAAAGGCTGAGAAAACGAATCCGTGTCATTTACTGTGGCCACAGGAAGGAGGAGGAGTTCACCTCCCCACCAGCTGTCCCTTCAGTACCATCAAAGCTTCCTTTGTATGGAACACCCTAGGATGAAAAGCTGCACAGGAAAGTCCTCTTTGCCAGTTTAAAAAAAGAAAGGCCAAAGGTTGTTTCCCAAACTCTCCTCCCACCCTCCCAAATGCTGGACTAGCATTGAGTAATAGTATGTCAAAGGACTGACCAAAGAAGGGAACAAGCAGAGTCCCAATCTTTCCTGAAGTGCCCTATAAGCAAGCAGAGATTCGCCTTCTGAGCCCCAAACATCATCAGCCCTCTCTCTTCCCATAAAGCAGCAGGGGACTAGCGCAGAGCCAAGAGCTACAATGTGCAGGAGGTGGCAGAGACTGAGGTGCTGGATCTGGTCAAGGCCCTAGAGCAGGGGATAGGCAACCTTTTTCCCACCGAGAGCTGCATTCCTGCAGGAATAGTCTTTTGGGGGCCAGAATGCATGCCTAGGGCCAGGTTAAGGTCAAGTCAGAGCCCCAAATGGGTGGAAGCTCCATTCTCTCCCTCTCCACCCAAAACCCCTTTTTTCCTTCACACCCCACAAGCCATCAGAAGGAACAGCAGATCACGTCTGCCAGAGTTCTGAACTGCCTGCTTTTGAAATTAGGCCCAGGGCTACGCTTTGCCTACCTTGCACTACAGAAAGGATGGGAAGGTGGAACATGAACTTAGCCATGGGGAGAGACCTCTCCAGTTTACATCTACTAGCAGAGTACCCATCAATTCAGATCTTTAAGCCCATTTTAAAACAATGTCCACGCACAGAGTAAAAGCCACTCCAAAAAAAAAAAAAAACCACCATTGTTTGCATTATCAGTTACTCAACAATTACAGCCTTGTACAAGTCACTGATGTGTTAAATAAACATGGTTGCCTTTGCTCTACCTCTATTACCCTATTACTGAAAAAAGGGCGCAGCTACCACCCTGTACAAGTGCAAGGCTTCGTCCTTTCGGGTTGTACCACTTGGGTTCCATCCTGCTGTTGAGAGGGAGGGGATCAGCATGTGAATGTGTGTGTAAAACACACATACATACACGCAACAGCTGGGTTCAGCTGCGACAGGGAGTTCAGAACTGACCAAGCATGCAAAATGAGGGAGGTGGTCATAAAGTCAGAGGTCATACAGGCAGAAGGAAGAAGCTACAGGATCACAAATGCAGCTTGCAGGGTAGAATGCAGGGGGAGAGGCTTTTAAGTAAACTGAACTTTACTCCCAGGGCTGCTGTATGCTGAGAATGGATTATGAAGCTTTACTATAGCAGGAACACCTCCTCCTCCACGTGGCAGCTCCTCTGGACTAGGGGAGACAACCTTGGTTGGGGTAGGGTCGGGGGCTGGTTTCAGAAATGGCCACCAAAAGAATAAAGCTGCAATTGGCCACGCAACTTAAAAAACATGCCAACTGCAGACAAGCTACTGCTGCCAATGTTTCCTGTGGGGCAGCAAATGTAGGCCCAAGAAGAGGCAGGCAGCATAATCAGTAGGTGCATGATTCAAAAGAAATCCATCTGCTTGGGGGAAGGCCTGAGTAGGATAGTGATGAAGGGAGAAACGTTGTTTGTGCTCCACTAAGAGGGAGAGAGTAGCCGGATTAAAGGCTTGCCCCCTTCAATACGGCTGAAAAGAAATGGTCCGACCAGAGAGAGGGGAGGCAGAAAGTTCCAATATCTCTACCCCGCCCCGCCCCACACACACCAGCAGTGCAGCCGAGGGCCGAGCACGGAGGACGGCATCACAGGTGGGACTGAGCTCAGACAGCATCATCCAGGCCAGGTTCGGCATCAGGGGATGGGGCACACTCTTTGCTAAGACGGACCAGCTCCTGGGAGAGGACCTCCAAATCCTGGAAGAAAGGAGGGAATCGGATGAGAGGGAGCCAGAAAAGGAGGCCGGTGGAAGAAGAGGCACGATATCCAAGCAGGAAGCCGATACACGCCCTGCCAAGCAAAATATAGACATCCCTTTCCAGCCAGGGCCTGTTCTGCACAATTCATTCTCCCAATTAAAAACTGCTCATTGATCGTCATTGGGCTTGAGTTCAAAGAAAAAGTCTGGAAAGCAAAAAAACCCAAACCAACAGAGAGATAAAGAACCAATGGCAATCAATACAGTTTATTAAGAGAACAAAGGACCCAAGTTGGTTTGGACTGCAAAACAGGAGCTTCCCTTGGAAAAAAGACCTTTCTTCCTCTTTCAGCACTGCGGCTCAGAAGCCCAGAATAGATGCATTTTAGATCACATTCTCTCTTGCAGAACGCTGTACACCAGGGGAGCCAGGCCCAGCCCCATGCCCTAGGTGGCATCTTCTGCCACCTACTCTACCTGCACACAGATTCTTTCCCAAATGCACAGTGCCCCCTACAGGCCACCACTGGGCTCACCCACACTACTTCATCGGCCATCCCCAAATACACCAAACTACCCTTTCCCCTACTCAGTGTTTTCCTGCATGGCTGGTATATCTGAAGGTCTCCTCCCAAAGTGATCTTGATCCTCATTTACACCCTGGCAGTGCCAGGGCAGCATCCCTTTCCTGCCCCACACTGACTGCTCCATTGAAGCCCCAACCTTGAAGCCTGTCCTCTGAGGCTGCTCACCCCCCATCCCTCCCCATTCAGACACAGCTATAAATAGCCTCTTCTTTCCGCTGACATCATTCTTTCGTCCCCTTGTTCCATTAGGACGTTGGAAAGATCAGATTCTACATCAAGCTCATACTGAAGGGGGAAAAAAACCCAATATGCTGCAAAGTCTTTCACTGAGGCGAGCTCTCTTTCTCTTGCCTCAGCATGTGCTTTCGTGATAAAAGCAGGCAAGCAGAAGACTTGCCTTGCTAGATAGATAGAAGTCTACCTAATCCAGCAATCTGTTTCTAGCTACTGGAAGCTAGGAAGCTCACTAAAACACAGAGAAAGAGCAATTGATTTTTCCCTGCCATCTGATCTTAGCAACTGATATTCAGAAGTATACTACTTTTGAATAGGGAGGGTCTTCTGAGATACCATGTCTAAGAGGAATAGTCCAAAAGAGCTTTCTTGCATAAATCTATCTAGTCCTTTGAAAAAAGTTTTTCTCCATAAGTTTTATAAACCTCTACATAGATATATGGATCATGTATGAAAGGTTTTTTCCCCCCCACTTTTTCTCAAAGGAGGGGAGCTCAAAGCACCTCCAAAGGGAATCTGAGTGCTCTTCTACTCAGATCTTCACCTAGCTATCTGAAAAAGTCCAGCGTTAGACCATGTATTGGTGAAAAAAGCACAAAGGTAAGGGGGCACTCTTGATAATCTGGCCTGGGGGGCGGCGGGGACAAACAGCCAGGATGTAATATTCCTGCTGCACCATCACCACTGTGGCCAGAATAAAGATGCCCCCCAGGACATACTTCCAAGCTGCAAAGTTTTCTCCCTTGAGCTGTTCTGCCCAGAGACAATGGCATCACCCGAGGTCTCCTCTGTGAATGTGGGTGGTCACCCATCTGTGGCACAGGGAGAAGGCTGGAGAAACTGCAGAATGGGGGCATGAAGGCATAGTTCTTTATTCAAGGTCACCACCGTGTTCATGCAGAAGGAAATTTGCTACTCCCTTAGCTTCCATTTGGTGCCAAAGCTAGCCTCTTGCTGCTTCTCTTCCCCATCAGTCACCTTGATCTGCAGCCTGAGAAACAAGGTGAATGGACAGGCAGCCACAGCAGCTCTATATATACTCACCCTGGACCAAGAACACACAAACTCAGAAGCCAACTAGCAGAAAGGCTGTTCTTATATACTTACCACAGCAGCATGTTCCTTCCAGAAAGCTCTCCCCAATGCCCCATTTTTCAATGGCTACATGCTGCTGAGGAGTTTGTCCAACAAAGACCTGCCTCGTACCTCACAATGAGTATCTTCTCCCTCTCTGGTTGCTGGTCGTCACCCCACAACCTTTCCCAATCATAGATTCCTAGATGGTGTTGGACCAGAACTCCTATTGTTGCAGGAATGAAGGGAGCTGTCATCCAACATCATGTGGGAATTTAAGTTTGGCAAAGGCTATGTAGTTGCCTTCAGCATTTCTAGACTGGTGTTTGTAGCTGTGCATCAGGCATCTGTTCTTGAACTTGGTCCACTAGGTCCCTCTGGGTAGCTTTTGTTCTACCCAGCCTCTTCTATTTTTTGTTTATGGGGGCTTGCTCCTTATCATTGGGTTGCCAACTTTTATTTTTTGTTTTGGCAATTCTGTTCTTCTGAACATACAGAGTATTGCTCTTAATCAGAAGGAACAGAAAATAGCTGCAGTAATAGTAATAGTGAGAGCCAGTATGGTGTAGTGGTTAAGGCACCAGGCTAGAAACCTGGAAACCTTGAGTTCTAGTCCTGCCTCAGGCAAAAAGCTAGCTGGGTGACCTTGAGCCAGTCATTCTTTCTTAGCCCTAGGAAGAAGGCAAGGGCAAACTATTTCTGAAAATGTCACCAAGAAAACTGCAGGGGCTAGTTCAAGACTAACTCAAGGGCACACACACGAAAAGTAATAGTAATAATACAGTCATCATGGCTCTAAGGGCAAGGTGTCACTGATTATGTACAGAGCGACTTCAGAATGCTTTTCAATCATAGATTTTGGCACTCGGCATCTAGTTTAGGATTCCAGTAGCCTAGCTGAAAGGCAAAATGGCAGGCACTCATAAAACTGAGCAGCAAGGCTTGGGCTTTCCCCTGGGTAAGCTGACACTGCAGTAGACTTCTGTTTACAGCATTACCCTTTGCCATCAAGGGCATTATCTCCTTCGGGTGGTACCATGCAGATCACAACAAAGGGCAACCCCCTCTGCATATTTCTTTAAGACACAGGTGTGCAACAGGATTATCTCACACCTTTTATTCCAAGAACAAAGTAACTGCACCAAATATACTCCCCCAAAGCCCCCATCAGCATTCTGGTTACTCAGCAATGCCATTTAGCGTTCTCTTGGGGCAGACTTTTCTTCCTCCTCATGGCGTCTTCCAGGTGTGCTGAAACTAGCACTCCCAGAACTCCGTGCCAGCCTGTTCAAAGGTGGGAGTTACGCCACCCCATGTTCTTCAACTGTTTGCTTTACAACTCCCACAGGCTTTAGCCAGCATAGCAATGGCAAATGTTTGCATAAGCTGAAGACCCCAAATACCAAGAGAGCACCCTCCTGGGGAAGGTTGGGGCACAGCCCGAGGCCCCAGCATGGTCTGGAATGGCTGAAAGCTGTGGATGGGGTCCCCAGGGACCTCCAAAAGTTGATCCCAAATTATCACTTTTAATGAGACAGAAAATTGTTAAACGCGTGATTGGAGAGCAGTCATATTAATGATTTTTAATTTTCCCTACATGTTAATGTGGTTAAAATGAAATAAAACTCAAGGTTAGTTTCTGTCCTAGCCTCACCCACAATCTTTTGGAGTGCAGTCCCTAGCACACCCTTGAATGGCCAAGGAACACGTGCAACTTTGCCTTGCCATGACAAAGCTGCATGTGTTTAATGTAGAACACCGTCCTTTGGGGGAAAATACCCCTTTTGCTGTAGTGTTCCTCCCCCAAACCCTGGGATTCTCCAAGGGTCTGAGCATTAAGTTCCTAGGGAGCTTGTCTCTGATATCTCCCCTTTGGGGGGTTACATGGAGGTTTGAGGGAAGGCCTTCTTGGGTGAGGAAACCTATTTATAAAATGCTTTCCCTGCAGAGATCAGCCTAGCATTTGGTTTCAGTCTTAGAAAAAGCCTGTTTATTCATTCACCCAAAATGTTGGGTTGTTGTGGCCACAGCACGGCCTTCATTCACCATCTGCTTATACTGGATTGCAGAATCTGCCCTCTGTGATGTTGCTTATTTTATTGTTTTACTGACTGAAGTTTTTTTTTTCCTTGTTTGTACCCCAACCTTATGAGGGCATTTCATAAGGACCAGTTATACATCTTTCAGTAAATAAAGATGCCCTGCGTAAACGCCCACTTCCATTTCTGTACTCTGAAAGTTCAGGGCCGCATGTCACTGTATACCTTTTGCTTTACGTTCCTCCTGGCAGAAGTCCTCCCTCCTGCCCCCTGCAGCTCTGCCCAGCCCCCATTTCGCCACCATGCCTCTTCTCCAGGCTCCACCTACAAACCTTCTGTAAGTGCATGTTCTTGGTGAGCTGCTCCTCCAGCATGTTCTGAAGCTTCTTGTTCATCTCCCGTAGGTTCTCGTCTCCCGGCTTCACCAGATCTCGTAGGACACTACTTAGGCTACTTCGATCAACCTGCCCATGAGCCCCAGACACATCTGTCAAAGGGAAAAGGGCAGGGGAAAAAAAAGCAGTAACAGAGAAAGAAGTTCCAACTGAATGTATAAATTATGGCCATAGTGGAAACTAAGCATCTGAGCTGCATCATTTGAAGAGAAAGAACATGGGTCCATATTGAATGTATCCTTCCTATAAATAACTATGTAAAGTTCCCTATAACAACAATCTTTCTCTTCAGAAGTGACTTTGGAAGAGTAGCTCCTTAGAATGAAGGATATCAGGACTAACAAGTTTGTCACCACAGGGAGAAACCAGCCTAAAAGTGCTGTAGGATCTAGTTAGCACACTTAAATCTTCAACATTCTGCTCTGGATCCCTTCTTCAGAAAACATTAAATTCGTGTCCACCCACAGGATAGGGCAGCCTTTACCAATTTGGTGATTTCTAGATGTGTTGGGTTATGGAGAACCTGAGAATCAAAGTCCAGCACATCGGGAGGGCACCAAATTAGGGAAGACTCCTGAGTTATCTATCAGAGCTCTTTCCTTGGTGACCTTTAAGAAATGCATAAACAGAGGTTTATTTTAGGTGACCTTTGAAAATACCAGACAACAGTCTGATAAACGAGATTTGAGTCCGAAGGAGGAGGGGTGGCAAAAGGGGCTCAGAAGGGGCCCTCTCTAGTTTTTAGGAGAATACAAGTGAGGGATGGAGGGGTACTTTCAGACTTGAAAGATTCTGTTAATATAACCTTACAGTAAAGATAGAGCTAGTACTCTTGGGTGTGCTTCTTGTCTGGACTACCTTGCAAGGCTGACAGGACTCTATATAGATGGATTTAATTTTATCGTTATTGTGAATGAATTTCCACAGTCCAAAAGGGGGAGCAGAAATACAAGAAACAAATAAAATAATAAAAACTGCTTGAGGAATATTGTTTAATCCCACAGCCAATTAGAATTGATTATATGAGGTTAGGAAGCCAATTCAGAGTGAGATCATGAAATATTGTTCTTAGTTTAAGTCAGAATGAGTGAGGGAAAGAAGCTGCATTGTAAAGCTTTTCGTCTTTGTTCTCAGTCCTGTCTACTTCTAGAAATACAGCCAAAACAGAGAATGTATTTTGCAGAGCAAATAATACTGTGGAATCCACCTCACTCCCCCACTTCCAGTGCTAAGTGCTGATATAGTAAATAAAACAACAACAACTGTGATGTCCATCCTTCAGCTCTCCTCCCTTTTGGAACTGGCACTTATCTTCCTGCCACCACCTCCCTGCACCTCTAACCATTACTCACAGCTTTTCTTCCTGGAGCTTGGACTGGATCTAATCTCATCAGGGGTCTGACATGAATGTGGGGTCTTTCCCTGCAGGAAGGCTGAAAGTTGCTCAACCATGAAATTAGCAAAACAGCAGGAAAGACATAACAGCCATAGACCATCCTCCACTCCATCCTAAGAAACTGGCATGAAAAAAAATTGGGAACAGGAATTAAATTAGATTTTAACTTGCATGCGGGATGGAGGAACCAACAGATTTGCTTGTAGTTTCACTGCTTTTGAGAGCCAAGAGACAGATAACTCCAGCAAAAGGGAAGTCTGTATGACTCCATGACAGCCTAGCCTATTGTTTGAATGATGGGGGTTGCAGGGGTAAGGGTGAGGAAACAATGACAAATGTGCCTGGAATATAGCAAGATACAAGGCTTACTAAGGCTCTTGAGCACTTCACTGTAGAACTCACTCTCAAAACAAGAGCTAAATCAAAGCATATGCAGATTGATCATACCCAGGCCCCATACATTGGGGAATAGCTCCAGCTTCAAGGAACATCCAAGTAAACTTAAGCCTCTGTTTCCACTTGGTCAAGCAGCCAGTCCAGAGATACATTGAAAATCAGTATTTCATTTGAAGAAACCACAACCTCAAATTGACTGCCATTCTCCACCAATGTCTTGCCAGATACCGGGCTATCTCGGTTGCCCAGCTTCCTTCTTGGCCTTGTTAGTCCCGATCTGAGTTGATTTCATAAATCCAAAGTGGGCAATTCTTTCTAACCCCCAACTGTCTTACTTTTCCAGCTTTCCAAATGATGGAACCTTACTTGGAAGTACATTTTCACACCAGCTTCCCTGAAATGGAGAGAGCGATGGAAATTGAGCATTGGAGTTCCTAGGTCCTTTCTTCCAAGGGTAGTGGGGAAAAGCCTGCAGGTTGCACCCTCCCTCCCAAGGCTGTTCAATGCAGTGTGCTGCCTTGATTTCCCAGACTGATGCTGGACTAAAGCAACCCTGACATCTAGATCGATTTTGCCTGCTCTCTCTGTCGGGGACTTTCAGCCTTCATCAATCCAGCTGTCTCTCAGTACGGAAATCTTTCCTGTCCCTTGGCTGTGCTAGTAAGTGTCGCCTTACATACACATAAAGCCTCAAAGAAGAGAGAGTGGTCATCAGTTCTAGGTTTGAACCTCAGCTCCCCTATCAAACTCAACTCTCCTGACTCAGCTCAGTGCCTATCACACTTTCTACTCTTCCACCAGTTCACTGAGTAACAATCATCAGTGCAAGGCACAATCCACATATTGCCATTTAACAAGAGCAAGCACACACTGTTTAAAAACTAGCATTTGACTCTGTAAAAGCTAAACTCTGAAACCCACAGAAGTCATACACACCTGTTTGGGTTTTGTACTCTGCACCTACATAAGAGTCCCTACTTCTAACAAAAAGCAATGACATTCTGCAGCTCATCAATCTTGGTGGCCATAACAGCTAGAAACATGCCTCCATTTTCAGAAAAGGAAAATCACATTTCTTAAAATGCCAAATTTGGCATCCAGTACTCCCTTCTGAGGGCCATGTTCATATGAGCTTTCAATGAAAGGGTAAGAAAAGATCCATAATTCGCTATCCTCATCTACAGTAGAATATGCTATGATGTTCAAAAAGTATTAATCTAAGTTCAGCCAGCATGTTACGAAGCCTACCAACAGGACTTCCTAATGTGGTCTTTAGAAGTATTTTTGTACAAGCCCCCTTTTCTGCCAAATTTTCACTCACTTTACTGCAATCTCCACAGAAAAGAGCACAGTTTGAAGCTCTGTAGTCCAAGAGGGCAGGACAAGATCTAATGGACTTATGCAATAAGAAGATAGATTGCTGCCATTAGACTACTGAGCCCTACACAGGCACGAGTTTTCCTTTCCTCTTGCTGGCATTTGGTTTCAATGTACAAAATCTATCCATTATTCCCACACATTGGCACAGCACGTTTGGGCAAAGATCTGAAAGTGCCGACAACCGTCAACTTGAACAGAGAATTAAAAACATTCATATGTTGCAAATGCTTCTATTCAATAGCAGAGATGCAGTTTTGCAGTGATATTAAAAAAAAGGTGGGGAACGCAACCAAGGCTGCAGCTAGTATGCTTACCAGGAGCAAAAAAAAAAAGCCCCATTTTTTTCACTGGGTCTCAAAAATCACCCCTACTCAACTCTCTCAAGTCTTAAGAATAAAACCAATAAAATTAGACCGCCCTAACGGATACTGCTAAGCTTACCTCTCCCTCCCCAGTCCAGGCCAGGCACTATGGAGTACCTTAAAGCCCCCTGCTTTTGGCCTCCCCTCTCGCCTGTCGTTTGCTCCAATGGTAACTCCCTCAGCTGAGTCGGGAGGAACTGGACAAACATGGTTCAATTATCGAACCAAACAAGTCACGGCATTCAGTGGACTCCAGCAAGGTTTAGTTACAGAAGGAGGAATAGTTAAATTTTAAGAAAAGACAGAAAACACGCTGAAGTCTCTGAGGCACTGAGAATCAGGTGATTAGCATATGGGGCTAAGAAAGACTCCTAGATTCAGTTACAAAGATTTGGAGGACAAATCAGACTGCAAATGACTGACCGATCAGGCAAAAAGGAAGCAGCTCAAGAGGCAGGAGGAGGAGGAGGAGGTGGTGGTGGTGGTGCTGGTGGTGGCTTGTATTTTTAGCATTCATGAAATATTCACTGGCTGGGTTGTGTGTTGCCAAGCTGAGGCAAAGGCGACCCTGTACAAGCTATTTATAGCTGACTCCTGTTTCATGCCCATAGCACAATTCAGTGTGGATGTATGAAAAACGTGCCCAGAGGATGCACCCCCCCACCGACTATGTAGTTGCCTGGCTATTCACCTGAGCACCTTTTCCAAGACACCCCTTATTCCTTATTATCCCACCCCTTCCAAGGTCTTTGCTCCTTTGCAGTTCTGGTCAACCAATGGAACAGCAGCCAGCTCACATCTGGGCAAAGGGCGAAGGTGCTCTATGGGCAGTGGAGCCCATAGAAGACGGGCTGGCATGGGCGAGAGAAAATAGCACTTCAGTCCACTGTGGGACTGGACTGGGGAAAACTGTAGGGCACACCCAGCAGGGGGAGCAACAGGGAAGCAATCAACGCGACAGCATGTTTTCTTTGTGGCTCAGTTTCCCAAATGACTTCCTGAATGATTTGCTGAACCCAACATTTTCTCATGCCAAAAGCAAAAAGTTGACTGCTGACTTCACTTCCACTTTCGTGCATCATTCTCGGGGAGGGAGCAGTTCCCTTCAGAGCACAGCATCCACCACAAACCAAGGGGGCCATAAAAACTATCCTAGTGAGCACCCCCCATTTCCTTCCTTGGCTCTTTCATTCTTGACAGGAAGAAAAATAACATGTGTAAAATGGCATTGTCTTAACCTTGCAGACAGCTTAGGTTCTCCTCTCCTACCTCTTCCTACTTGAAGCCAGAAGCATTATGGTTGCTAATCCTGATTTCCTCAGTTTCTGAACCTGTGAAATTCCTATTTCGTTAATAGGATGAATAAATCACAATGGAGCAGCCTATGACTGGATCCATTTTGGACAATCCATTGATTCAGGTCAAGTATTTTGTAATTGCACCACCCAAGTATGTGGAATATGGCATTAACTGAAACTAAATTTAATAAATTGAGATTCTCAGCTTCACTTGAAGAAAGAGAGTGAAAAGCACGTTTGTGTGTGATCTTGAGTGACAGCTCAAAATTGACACTTAAGAAGAGGAAGGAGGACAATTCAGCAGTATTTATTTTGGTTAGGAAATGGGACCTCTTAGTCCCTCACAATAGCAGAGAACCTACCAAGGAAACTAAAATGTGCAAAATTTTCTTATTCACATAACGTATGCAGATTGCAGAGTTATGCTTCTCTTCATGGACAATTGTTACTTTCCACCACAAAGCATAAACCATATAGACTGTTGAAAGCCAAGCATCTATTGAAGATCACAGTGCCCACCATTTCCTGATGACCATTCAAGGTCATCAATTAACCTTAACACTGTTCAAGTTGTAGTGCTCCAGAAAGGAAAACTAGTGGGGGGTGGGAGAAGAGAAGCAAATCAAATCTGTAGAATATCTGGAACTTCGTAAAACAGAAGCAGACTTCTCTATGGAACAGCTTCCCTACAAATCAGGGTGTGTTCACATATGGGAGATTAGGTCTACATCAGGTTTTGAATATGAATGCAAAACCTACATTAGCCACTATACTCATTCTACAACCTGTACTTTTCTTATCCAGCCTCTTAGGTTTGAGTCATTTAAATAAAATATTCCCAAGTGCACTTCAGACAAATAGCTATCATCAGAGTCATAAGTGAAGGTAAACAACATCAATTCAAATGCTTCAGAAACCATATACTGTACCAAAATCCCATATCCTGAAAAGCACATGCTCATCACAAGAACTTACTGATCTAATAAAAGTCACTACATCAGTAACACTAAACAACTATCAGAAAGAGCTTATTCAACACAGAACTGTTTGAGAGAATAGCCTCCCTAAATAATCTCTATAAAGTATGCTGATAATAGGTTCCCTCTTGTACTGTAATACTGAGCACGCACACATCTAAGCTACATACCTGAATGCAAAAGGAGAATATTTTTCAGAAGAAGTCTGTGATATGAGAGGGCAGCAGAAATTGAGCAGATTTATCCAGTCCTATTTATATAAGGATATCCAGGCAGTCTGGCCCAGTGATCAAATCTGCAGAGTTTCATCACACACTTTTGTGATCTTATCACTGGAAGAGTTATATGAAAGCCGTGACTACCAGAAGTCATTTCCCAGAGAAGTCCTAAGCTTCAAAAATTCTGCAGAAATGACTGCTCTTCCCAGTTTGCCACTGCACTATTAAGGTTAGAAATTTAAAAATTAAAAGTAGGACCTCTAACCCACAGAACCATAGCATATAGATGAGCAGGACTCTTTCCCTTTTTCTCAAGCAGTGACAGCTGCTTTTCCCCATCATCAAATGCTTTGAAAACTTAGAGCATCCTGAAAAAGGCCCCTCAAAGGAAATAATTGGTTAAAAGACTTAGCTAAATATTGGCCTTGGAACCACCAAATGCTCTTTAGGTATCAAGCTACAGCCAGGCCATACAAGCAAACAACGGAAGTGTTGACACCTGAGTGTGCACTTCCCTTTATACTGCAAGATGGCTGAGTGGGAGCAGCTCCTTTTCTCTTCTCTTTGCCTTGGTCTTTGATGGAGATGAACTAACATGTTTTGATGGCAGATGCCACAGAACCTGTCAGTGCTGCAAAAGAATGTCCCTACTCATTTGGCATTATCAAGAATACATTAAGTCACCAAAAGTCCCTTTTGTGGGCCAGGTCTATCATGGAAGCAATGTCAGGTGAATTAAGCAATTTGAATCATTTGTTTTCTTGAGTCCACAGGCTTATCCCCACCTCTCCTGGTTTAATCAGAAATCAAAATTTTTTGGAGATTGGTTCAACATGGGCTCTCTTCTGGGACTGGTACTCAAGCACTGATTCTGGAAATCTCTTTCCATATATAAACTGATGCTGACAGAGGAAGAGAATAGGTGAGGAGAGTATGGCTAAGGTTGCTCTCCAAGGTCCTTTATTCCACTCAGATTTATCCAGTATTATACACTCAACTCAATATTTTTTTTCTCTGAAGTCATAATTTTTTGTTCTCCTCTGAATTTAAACTCAGATGTGCTGGATTCTTGGTTAATCAACTGGAGACAAGGTGGAGGGACAAGGGATTCTTGATGATTCTGCATTTTTATTTTGAATCTCAATGCTTTTATGTATTTATATCCCTAATATAAATTGTTAATTTTATGTATTTATATCCCTAATATAAAGTATTAAAAGAATTAAACTGTAAGGAAGAAGGAGTAGGTAAGGTGCCTGCTTGCAAGGGACCAAATGGGGCAAGCATAGTTCTACTCTATTTCTTGAACACAGATCTGATGTAGAGTAGAACTATGCTTGCCCCATTTGGTCCCTTGTGAGCAGGGACCTTACCTACTCCTTCTTCCTTACAGTTTAATTCTTCTAGCACTCACTTTCTTATTTCTTGGGAGTCTTACCATTGCTAGAAAATACACCATGGACAGTTGGGAGATGTGAAGCTCCCATATCACATTTCCCCTCAGCCATGATCAAGCCACAATGGCCTAAGGGTTCACAATGGCCTAGGGGTTTCCTAGAATGCAATCCAAAAATGGAATGAGAAGACCATCAACTCACAAGAGCTCAACCAGGCTGAAATTAAATAGACAGGGAATATCACTTTTGCTTTGAGCATCCAACTCCCCCTTTCTCCTGCAATCTCAAATCTCTGGCTGCCTCCAAGCTGGCTCCCTCCTGAAGACTACAATTCTCACCAATGCGGCTGTCCATCACATAGGTCTCAATAATGGCACTCTTCCGGCACAGGTCCTCAGCCATGGAGGCACTACTAACTTCAAGGTGCTTCACCTAGCAGAGAAAGATTGCATTACTTCTTACTGCCAGACCTGCTTCCCACAAGGCCAATGCTATTCCTAGGTCTGGGGATCAACTAGCTATGTTCCTTAAATGTGGCAGACCAGCCTTTTTCTAATTTGCTCTCTTCATCACAGCCCTTGTCCCAGAGTTTGTCCCTGTCTCTGACTGATTCCTCCAAAGTTCAGAATTTGCATCTATACTGACATTCTTTCAGAATCTGCTCCCCAACCAGAGCCCCAAAAGTCAAGGTCTGGCAACACTATCAGGATTAGAAGCAAAGCCCCAATCAGTGGACTCCCACATGGGTCCTTGGGAATGTATGCCAAGGCCGCTGTGCAGGCATCCAAACTAGGTGGTCTATACTGTGGGAAGTCAAGGAAATACTGAACGGTCCGGGGTCTCACAAAATCCAAACCTAAAATTCAGGTGATTTTTATACCTTCTCCTCCAAAAGCCATTTCTCCTGCTGAACTTCAGCCAGCCGCTGGAACAGTCCTGAGATCTCCTCATCTGAAAGTTCGGCTGGCCGTGAAGGTTGCGACTGTGACTGTGGGCTTCCTGTGGTTGACTGCAAGTAGAAAAGATAAAAGACAGACGTATCACTTCTCACGTGCAGGTCTTTTATTACAGACACAATGGCAGAACCACCCAAATTCCACTAAGTAGGCAAAAGCATTTATCTCTTGCTTTTGTGAGGCACCAAAGGTGGTTTCCTCTATATAATCACAGACATCAGCATTGTATATAAGATTAATTTTAAAGTAGTAAACCTGAAACTATACATCTAGCTCCTACTATCATCTATCTTTTTCCACTTAAAGCATTTGAAAGCAGATTCCCAAGGGCTGTACTAACTGGGAATTATGGAAGTTGTAACTTGACGTGTCTAGAGAGTGCCAATTGGGAAAGGTTGTGATCTAAAGCTAGAGAGATAAGAATATACAGCATACTTTCCTAGTGGAGAAGTTATTGCACGTCATTAGGGAAACATCATAAAGCTGTTCCTCTAATTTTTCAAAATGAGAACAGAAAATAAATTTAGAATCAACTGATATCTTTAACAGGCAGGTAGGCTCATGGAGGACTCAAAAGTTATGCTGGTTCCAATCAGTGAAATAAATTGGATATAGGTGAAGTAGTGGAACTGCTGAACCAGTGGCCATTCGTGGTAATGGACTGGGTCATTACAATAAAGTTCTGTAAAGCATTACAATAAAATTCTGGACTTCAGAAGTCAGAGACGCTTTGCCTGTCCAGCTGAATAGAGTTCAACCTAAAGGTTCAGGTTCATAGCTTGGGAGAGCTTCTGCATTGGTCCTTGTCATGAGAGGCTCAAGTGGCCTCTGGGGCATGAAGCATCTTTCCCCAGCTTGGGCTGGTGTACCAGCTATGGCTTAGTTGGATAAAGACACCCTCATCACAGTAATCCATGCCCTGGTAACTGTGATGGAATGGTGTTATGAAGGCCACGCTCAGGAAGATAAGCGTTTCCTTAGCCCTCAACAGGAGCGTGAGAAGTTTAAGAAGATGAGACTGGCACCACCCTAAGGAATTCAGGGTATTGTGGCTTGTTGGCTTGGGTACTTTAGGTTCAGTCTGGAGAGATTTCTGTATTGAGGTGAAGCTAATAAACGCAACAGAACTGTTCTGCACTGTCTCGTGGAGTTCTTTGGGCTGAACCTGACAGTAACTTCTCATTTAATTAGCGCAATGCTAATTGGGTTGTCCTTGAAGACAATTCAGACACTTCAGTTACAACAAAATGCTGGTAGAGGGATACTGATTGAAACTGGGTAATATGAAAATATCATGCCTGTCCTTTATGGAGTGGCTTCCAATTAGTTTCTGCTCTCAACCTATCAAGCACTTCACATTTGGGGCTGCAGTATCTGAAGGAACCCCTCTTCACACATGCTCCTACCCTAAGATCCTTTCTTGGAGGGGCTGCTCCTGACGTCCTCCCACATTGAGATGCAATGAAGGCTACCTGGTAGCCCCTCAACTTTGGAATGCCCTCCCCAGCTAGGTATGGGTGGGGCCATCTTTATGATCTTATCTGCCAGACAAAAATATTGTTATGCTTCCAAGCCCTTTATCTTTGGTATAAACATTTAGATCCTGATACATGATAAAACTAGCTTAACATAAGGAGCCAAGCACCAGATGTGAACTATGGGTTCTTCAAGTAGCTGCCATCCTGCTTTTATTCTGGCTTCATAAACTTCCTTGCACTGATGTAATGTTTTAGTAAAGTTTTGTTTTGTTTTGGCTTTTATTTACTGTTAGTCACCTTCGGTACCAATTTTTGGCAGACAACACAAATTATGAATATCAGAAATTAAACATGTGAATTGCTCTAAACATATGTGAAAACATTAAATTTAGATTACACAAGAGCAGATTTAAAAACAGGTGAGTTTGTTATTCTGATAGGGATCACAGACTCCTGAAGCAAGCACATACTCAAAACCATCCCATTCTTTAAATATTTAGGCTGAGTTTGTCTACTTGTTCCAGTATTTCCCATCTGGCTTCAGCTGGCCGACCTTGGAGTCCCATAAAAAGAAAAGAAAAAGAAAAAAATTCCCGAAAGCTTGAAGACTGCAACCCTGGTACTGCAGTGTCAAATGAAACTTGCTAGGTGAATTACAACATCACGCTTCACCGGTGCAACAAATGATGCAGAGGGAAAAGTCAGTTGCCCTTCATGGGGAAAAGGAAAGAACTAGACAGAGAAGTGCCATTCCAGGAAATGCTTTGATTTTCTTTTTGGAAAGAGAAAATCCTCCTTTATTTGTGGGGATGAAACTCATCCCCTCATGAAGCAAAGCTATACCGTTCAAGAGTCCTGGCTTTTGATTTCTACCTCTGGTCCCCTCACCTTGTTACTGCCAGCCCCGGATCCCTCTTTCATGATTTCACGATAGCTGAAGGATGAGATGCTGCTACTGTCTCCCGTCTGAGTCCGACTGGGTGAGCTGATATCTGCCAGGACAAGATCCTCGATCCCTGGAAGGCAAAGAGAATGCTAGAAGACCACAAAGAGGGACGTTTCTAGAGTCCAAGATTGCCATCCAGCCCAGCAGCTCCCAGACCTGCAGTGACTCACTGAAGCATCTGACTGGGAGAGCAAACGCATCTAGATATCAGCATCTTCAAGAAAAATAACCTCATTCTAGGTAAATCTATGGCAAAACGCAGTTTCACTTTTCGGAAAGGACTGGCATCAACCAGCTTCAATTCTGATTAAACCGTCATCAGGGCTTTTTCATTGCTTTCCCCCCACTGAACTAGCTGGTGGACAGAACAGTTCTTTGGACATGTAAGAAATGGCTTCTATTTTTCCACACAGTCAACATTATAGGAAATGCTCTGAAAAATATGTAGGCAGAGGCAATGAGAGACTGCCTGTCTTTAGCAGGATTTGCTTCAGCAACTGCATGCCAATTTTCCCTTTCTAGGCACTCTGAGGGTAACCCTAGTCTCATCTGAAGTCACATCTTCCTCAGGGAACTAACAAATTAACCTTTGGGGCACCAGATTCTCACCCTGCAACTGCAGGAATCCCATGTGGCCTAGAAACAGTGAGAGCCTTCTAGACTTAACTAGGAATATGCACAGTTCTGAGTAGGGGGGTGTAATGGTATGTGGGAATGACCTTGGGAGACAGGAGGGAGAGCCACAGACTGGACAACTGGCATGTAAAAGATGTCTCAGCCCACAGAAAAAGGGATGGTGTGAGAAACATTTCAGAAGGGACCCTCCGTAGTTTTCGAGAGAGTAAAAGAAAAGGAGGGGAGAAATATTTTCAGTCTTGCAAGATTCTGTTAATGTAACCTTACAAGAAAGACAGAGCTAGTACTCCTGGATGTGCTTCTTATCTGGACTACCTTGGAGGGCTAACTGGGAGTTATGGTCCTAATCCAGTGAAGAACAGGCAAAGGATAACAACAGCTTTTGGACCTCATGCTTCCACAACCCCCATGAACTCTCCATACTCCCTCTACTGGCTTAAATCACAGTTCGTGCAAGCCAGGATGCTGTCCTCTTAAATCTGCCATATAGTAGTTAAAGTGGGCCCAGGTTAGCATTAATTGTACTTAAGGCCAGCATTAAGATGGATAATATCCAATGCAAAGGCTACTAAAGGGAGTTGTGAGTGGAGGAAATGCTTAGAGAAGTAACTCAGCCCAAAACCTCTCCCCCCTCCCCCTACATTGTGGATAAAGAGTTCAGAAGCTTTATGCCTGCAAGGCCCACGTTTGAACAGGAGAGATTCTTTGTTCCCAGTCTCAGTTTGTGTATGTGTTGAATTCTCTGCTTTAAAGCTTTCAATTTACACTTCTTTTCTGTATGTAAAGTAAAGTAATAAATTAAAATAAGGCTGCAATAAACCAGGCAGTCTCATTTGAAATCTGCCCTCTCCATAAGTTTTTTTTTTTTTTGGTTACTCTGGTACTTCTAGATGAGCAGATTAACAAAGTATTGTTTCGAGAGAGATGGTGATGTACCATCATGATATGATGAACCATCATGCAGGGATGAAGTATGTGAATGAGTGAGTGAGTGAAATTATTTGTAAATGAGGGATCCCTTAACATACCAATGCATTACAGTGTACAATCATGATATGAAATACAGTAAAAGCCAACTTGACCTTCATCTAGTTTAGCCTACCATCTTTTGAAAACCACTAGGACCCAACAGCAATTGGCCAGTAGCCATTAGCTGAGCAAGTTTCTGCTATCCAACTGTTCCAAGATTTCCATTCAGTTATGGGGGCCACTGGATACCTTTGAGCTACCTGCCTCTGGACTTCACAATAAACTCTGGTTTACAAAAGCCTGCAGACATATGAGACCACAAACCCCAGAATTCTCATAGCTGATCATTCTGGAGGATATAATCCAACATACCCGGAAGATATCAGGAGGTCTTACTCTGATGGGAATGTGCCTCCCTCCTGATTACATTTATGTACTACTTCTTCTACTGGGGAGGTTGTGAAGAGAAATTCAATAGCTTCCACTTTTCTTTTAGACTAACTACAGTGGTCACATTGCCTGAAACAGGCAAGTTGTGGTTAATTTTAAGCATGATTTGCTTGAACAGTGAGCATCAATCCATGGGTTGAGAAACCAAAGTTAAGCTTAGCCATGGTTCATTGTTTAGGTGAACAGTAAACTGAGAAGCAGAAAGGTGTGTGTGGACCTGGAGGGGATGTCAGATTTATCATGAGGTCCAAACACAGCCATTAGCCACCTCTTCAGCATAGATAACAAAGCAGCAAACATACTGCTAACGGTCTGATGTCTTCAGGCTCCCCCCATGACCAATAGCATTTACAATCCATTGACAAGTAGGGTAGCTTTGGGGAGGGGAGGTCCAATGGATACATTTGAAATTTGAGAAGATGCTGCATCAAATAGCTGCCAAGGGAGGGAGGGAGTAGGCATTTACAAGGAGACTGCCATAGTGTGCATGGCCCATCGCAAGACACAACTGACCAGACAGCAAACGAGTGAGGTTTACCACTCCCTTTCCTCTCCCTCTCAAGAATGTTTATTTATTTATTAGATTTACATCTTGCCTTTCAATCAGGAGCTCAAGGCAGCTCCTGAATAGCACCCCCCCTTTCTATTTTTCCCCAGAACAGCAGTCTTGTGAGGTACATTGGCCTGAGAGAGAATGACTGGCCCAAAGTCACCCAGTCATCGTCTGTGATGGAGGGTGGATTAGAACCCAGGCCTCCCTGCTCCTGGTCCAACCCTTTCACTATTGCACCACATGGGCTCTCTGTTCTTCACTTGACAACCCCAGCTTAGCTTTGTTTGGCCAGGTTGCCATACTATCCCTGCACCAACCCACCAATATTATTTAATTTTATTTTCTATAAACACATATGGGGCCTCTGTGGAGCCCAGAGATACTCTTGGAAACCCAAGTTGGCAGCTGTTGCCTGGCCTTTGCATATCAAAATTCTGATGTTTAAAATTAAAGATACCTTTTAAAATACTTGGCTGAGCCTACAAGCCTTAGGGCCCCATGTATCAGTTTGCCAACCCCTGGCTAAATGTGTCATTCCAATGCAGGGCAGTGCTAATTCCCACCATTCTTTAAAACCATAAACCAACTTACCACAAATCACGGGTGGACTATGTGGCTGTAAGCAGCATGCATCCTGCATTTGGGTGTCAGGCTTAATCATAAACTACTATGATTAGGGAGTGTGCAAACTTGCTTCTCCAGTCCCTCCTAGGAGGAGCCAGATGGCACGTGTGGGGCACTAGCCCATTGTACAATGAAGTGCACTGTACAAACCAACCTATTTCATAACGTAATCCATCTTACCCATCTTACAAGAGTTTTTATGAGGATAAAAAGGAAAAAATGATTGTATGCCATTTTGAAATTCCTCGGGAGAAAAACAAGAATATGAATCTGCTTCAGAAAACTGCACGCACACATAAACCCAAAAGGCAAGGGACACTTTTTACACAGCAGATGGCAGAATGTAGCTTCCAATACAGACCATCTGGTACATCCACCAGACCACTGAAACAACTGAGCTAGCTTTCTTTTGCTTCTGAAAGGGGTAGTTTTAGCAGAACTCACTATGACAAAGCTTCAGAAAGAGATTTAAGATAAGCAAGATTAAAACAGGTTAGCAAGGAGACCTGGAGGGGAAAATTTCGTTCCTGCTTCCTATTCTGTCTTACCTAGACTCAGATTCTTCAAACTAGGGCCCTCTAAGTGTCTCAGCCTTCAGCTCTCATCATCCCCAGCCAGTATGGTCTCTTTGCAGAAATAAAGGAACGCAAGCAGTACCAGAAAGACAAGAGCAGAAGCAGAGCTCTGCAGTAGATCCAAATTCCTCTTTGCAGTGATAAAGAATTAGAGTTGTGATGGCCCTGATCCAATTTTCTCCTCTACCAGGCTCTTCTGAGATAGCTTTAGGTAAGCTGGATTTGTTTTACGGTATAAGGAGGAATATAATGGCTTCTCTTGAAGGCTTCACTTGGTCTTTGTGCACCACACCTGCTCACACACAGATGAGACTGCTGGACCCTCATCTCTGCAGCTGGGTCATACAGCTTCAAGGAGAACTAAGGCAGGTTTGCTCTTTAACCTCAGCCATGAATCCAGGCTGAACGTTTTTGTTCTTCCCTAAGCAGGAAGTTCCTTATGTCAGGATTGGTCATTAGCTTCCTTATTCTGAGGGCTGTCTTCACTGATGGGCAGAGCTTTTCCATTACTTGCTACCCAACAAGGTCACTCCCCAACAGGAGTAAATGACAACCATTTGAGGATATCAATCAGGACTATGGACTAAACACCCTTCCTTGACAGTCAAGACTATTTCTACCTACAGAACCCTACCAACACCTTTGTAGCTCACCCTGGCTTTTGGCTATGTTCCATTGTGACATCTTTTCATGTAAATTCTCCCAAACTTTGACAAGATATAAAAAACAAGGGAAAAGGAGATCAAAGCACAGGCAGCAGAATCTAATCCTGATAGAGTCTCAGCAAACAGAGATCCATTTTCTTCTGCCATGCCTCAATTAAAAAAAAAGGTGAGGTTGAGGATGGGAAAGGCATTTCTTCTTTTCCACACTGACATCTACATGTGTCTGTAGACAGACACCCTATTCATCTAGATGAAGATTGCAGTGGCTTCCCATCTAGACCACTGACCAGGTTGATACTGCTTTGTTTCAGAAAAGCTCTGCACCTCATGTTTCTAGACCATCCCCTAATGCCAGAAATGGGATTTCTAGCAATTGTGCAACCTATCCAGTACAGCTTCAAGAGCTTCTCAGAAGGAGAGTGCTGGGTGCGTAGGAAGTGAAAGATCCTACAGCAACCGCAGCAGCTGCTCAGCCTAGATGGTTAATTTTTAATCCAACCACAAAAATAAGAGACCCCTTCAGTGCTGATAATCTGGGATAGAGAACCACAGGCACCTCCCTAACCCTAGCTCAGGCCTCAAACTACTTGTTCATTTA